GTTGGAGGTATGATCACATTTCTTGCTAAGGAAAAATTAAATGAACAGGTTTAAGCTATAAGTGAAAATGGAGAATATAATAGTTTGAAGATTCTCAATCATCTGAGATGTTAGTTAGCCCACAACGTATTTTCTACATAGGCTTTTACTAGTAAGAGCATATTTCTCATGAAAAAAATTAATCGGAAAAATATAAACGTACCTGTAGCGAATTCTCGGTCTCTTAGTGGTCATGCGCAATAGCAGAAAGGTCAGTAACGTTGATAGGCCAAGAGTTGATTAAAACCCCTCTTCCTTCTTTAAATGAATGAATAATCGTGTAATCCAGTTTTCGGCAAGCTCCACCCCATGACTTCAGCGTACATCATTATAGTTTTGTAAAAAAGTTTTATGAATTGGTAAACCACTTTTTAGTTTTCTTATCGCTACTAAGGAAAATGCAATCAAAAAGAATGTAGCTGTGAGTGCTGATATCGTCTTGCCATAATTATACTGGTTTTTATTATTGGAAACAATATCTGCTTCTGAATTTGTATTGACTTAGACATTTAGCATAATTTCAGTATTTTAAATTATTCCTTCGCGTAGCTCTAAGTGATCAGAAGGTTTGAACGAAAAATGTTTTACATCAATCACTTAAATTTTCAATTATGCGCAAGCTATCAAACGTAACTACGAAAGGTAATCTGATAGATTTGAAGGCCTTCTGTACAATTTGTTCAATGCTAGAATATTGTGTCTCAGTAAACAACGAGCACTCTCAATAAAGTATTGGGAAGAACAGCAGCATTTAAACATTCGATGTATAGATTTTGACGGAACAGTTTAACAATACTTAAAACTTCTTTTCCTCAGGATTCTTTTTTTCGGCTCCCATTGCTGATTTGTCACCGAGGACATACGAATATTTGAAAGCGGACGAGATTTTTGGGGTGAATCAGAGATTTCCAGGAAATTGTCATCCTCTCCATCAACGACTCTGCTATTTGGATTTCAGCCCTTTCTCCCTTTCTCCCTTTCAATAGGCGCATTGCCAAGCGTTGCACCTATGTACTTCCTGTGAGAATTTCCTTCAAAGGTTTTTGTAACTGAAACAACTTCTACTGGGTCCGTAGAAAAAGAGAAAACGTTTTTGAGGTGACCTAATAATTTGCATAACTCCCAACTGGCCTCATATATGTATGCCTTTTCTGGACGCTAAATTAAGAAAATTTTCGAAAGAGAACTTAGCTTAGAAGGCTTTGATTATCCTATCAAACGTCACATCACTTCTGTATTTTGAAAAGAATTTTTGCAATCACCGGATCATCTCTACTTTAGAATCTTTCTTACTTTTCAGTTAGGCCTATGTCGATGCTTAATTGCATTTGATTCTTCGTAGAAAGGGCAAAGATTTGAGGATCAAGAGGTGCTGAAATAAAATAGAGAAAATCACATTTTTTTGCGTTTGAAAATCATGCCTATGACTGAATTGAAACGTCAAAGGAAAAACTAAATTCGTTGAAAATTTCTAATCATCCCCGCCCTGTAAAGTAATGTTTCATGACCCATAGCTATACTTAAAGATGCAAGAAAACAAGCGGCACCCATATTTGCTTTGTTCACCGAGTTCGTCATGATCGCTTTATCTGAAAAAGGAGACCAGAAGTCGCAAACTGATAGGAGTTCTTGAATTCCGTGGGAGACGTCGTAGCAATGCATCGCTTTTTGCTGCTACTGGCTATATTATCTCTCAAAACGGACTTAGGTACTTTTCACAAAACTTTTCTAAAATAAATTGTTTATCAAAATGTCTACTTTTGCTTAAATTTCGAATTTATTACATTTAGTGCTTTCGGATACCTGCCAAGAGTGCAAATTCGCTGTCGATCTTCTACATGATGCTTGGGGGGAAAAGACAACAGAGGAATGCGTCGGTAAGCTTATTGTAAAAATTGTAAGCACATTTCTGGTAAGCATCAAGCGAAATTATGGAACCTGAATCAAAAAAAAA